AAAAATGTGGTATATATACACAATGGAGTTTGACTCAGCCATAAAGATGATGAAATTATGTCATTTGCTGGTAAATAGATGAGACTGGAGAATATTATGCTGAGTGAAATAAGCCAGATTTAGAAAGTCAAGGATGGAGGACTGGGGATGTGGCTCAAGCGGTGGCAGCGCTGGCCTGGCATGCGTGGGGCCCGGTTGGATCCTCAGCACCACATACAAACAAGGATGTTATGTCCGCCAAAAACTAAAAAAATAAAAAATGTTGAAGAATTCTCTCTCTCTCTCTCTCTCTCTCTCTCTCTCTCTCTCTCTCTCTGTCTCTCTCTTTAAAAAAAAAAAGTAAAGGATCGAATGTTCTCATGCAGAAACTAGAGAGAAATAAGCAAATTAAAAAGGGGTTTGTGGGACTCTCATGAAAATAGAAGGGAGAACAATGGAGAGAAAGGTGATCCAGACAAAGGGAGGCGGGATGGAAATGGGAAAAAGAGTGGCATGACATTGAACAAAGTATGTTATGGGCATGTATGAATGTATCACAATGAGTTCCACTTTTATGTATATATAACTCCAGCGTACTAATTAAAAAACATAGAGGGAAGACCAACAGAGAAGAGGAAGGGGCTTAGGGGAGGSTATAGAACTGGGGACTGAAATGGAGCAAATTATGTGCATTTATGAATATGCCAAAACGAACCCCACATTTATGTATAACTATGATTTAAGATAAATACATATTTTTTCTAGACTTTATTTTAATTTTTTTAGTTGTAGTTGGACACAATACCTTTATTTTATTTATTTATTTTTATGTGGTGCTGAGGATCGAACCCAGCGCCATGCACATGCTAGRCAAGCGTTCTACCGCTGAGCCACAACCCCAGCCCCAAATATATATATAAATCTTTATTATGGCTGAGGATGTAACTCATTGGTGGAATTCGTGCTTAAAATACACAAGTCCTGGGCTCCATTTCCAACACCAAAAAAGAAAAAGAAAAAATATCTTTGTTAACTCTACAAATGCTACCCACTGAAAACCACAGCCAAGTGRCATTGCAGGAGAAATTCTAGAATTTTTGCTGAATAAATGAAGACTGCCTGATCTATCCAAATGGGAGGCCCCGGATCATCTGCTAAGACCTGAATAATAAAAATATATTTGAAGAAGAAACAACTCAAGGTTCCTAAAWATATATATAACTTTGAAAAGTAAAGCAATAGACAGGGTTTAGCAGGGTATCCAGATAAGGAAATAGTGTATGGAGGGCATTGACCATTCCATTGACTGACAGATTTGCCAATGTGATATCATTTGAAGGGCTCTAGGGACGTGGGGGGCGGGGTTCCGGCCTATTCCGCCGTCCCCACCCCCGCGGGGGCCCGTCCCGCTGTACCCGCCCAGGGCCGCGTTCTAACAGCCTGTGACCCCTCCTTGCTTCTGCCCTCGCGTCCCTCGGCGAGCCGACGTCGGGGGCCCTTCCCGGTGCACGCGGGAATACACCAGAATCCCGGCCTTATCAGGTTCAATTGGTCTGAGGCCMGAGGCAGCGAGCCCCCTCGCGTGCCCCGCCCGAGGCCAGGCGGAGGTGACGTCAGCGACCCCGCTCCCTTTTCTYGACGCAATCTCCGCGCGACCCGGATCCTTCCGGCTTCCCCAGTTTGGGGGACGTCCAGGTCGGGGTCAGTTCCACGGAGGAAGGTGGAAGGAGTTGTTGCAGGGCCGAGTTGGCCTAGGCAGCGAAGGGACCTCGGCGCAAAGGCTGGTCCTCAGCCAGCATCCAGCGGGGCCGAGAGGGCGGTCGTGCTGTGGGCCCGGGAAGTGACGTGAGCCTGCGTCCCGGGTATTTCAGCTGCTGCCGTCCTCTCCAGTAGCTCCCTTTGTAAATTTTATTTTTCGAAAAAAAAAAAAAAGGACTTTCCGCTGTTAGAGTCGTGTTGACGTCGCGGTGTCCTCCCGCCTCTTGGACCTGGCGACTGCTGCGAGTCGGGGTGAGCCCTGCGAGAAAACTGGTTCGGGGCTGAGGCTGTAGCTGGGTGGCGAAGCGCTTGCTCAGGTCCAGAGCGTGGGTTCCACGCCAGGCCCCGGGCGCGAGGTGGCGAAGTTTCCTGAGGACCTATTTCCCCTCTCTTAGGCAATTCAGTGTTTCAGATGAGAGTGTGCCGCCTTTGCGCATCAGATAGTTACCTTTTCATACTCTACTTTGTTAGAAAGATGAAGGTACTTTCTTAGGTGCCGAAGGTGTGCCTAGTTTTGTATGTGAACACGAACGTTTGTAGAACACAAGCCTTTTTATAAACAAAACCACGAATTTACAGGCATTCCCTTCATCCGAATTTCCTAAGGCTGTACATCCATCCCCACAGAATTTAAGAACCGTGCCTCCAGTAAGGAAGGAGGCTTTATTGCACTAGGAATAGTTTATCTTTGACAAGATAGTTGGACTAAAAGTACATAAACAAATATAATAAGAAACCTTGGATTTTAGATTCAACAATATCCAAAACCGAACAATGTGACTAAATTAACATTTGATTGAGTAGATATTAGACAATACTATGAATATTAATTTTCTTTTTATGGATTTGTGTGTGATGAGGATTGAACCCAGGGTCTGGTGCATGCATTTTACCAATGAGATACTCACCCAGCCCACTCACTATTCATTTTCTTGAATAAAAAAACTACTATTGTGGATTTAATCCCTTTTTTTAGGAGATGCATTACCAAGTATTTAATGTTCCAATATCATCATGTTTACAGTTTATTTTCAACAAGCTTTCTTTCAAATACAATAAAATGTGTGTGGGGAAAAAGAAAACATGAAAAAAATGCTAAAAATTAGTGGACCTATTTGTTATGATTTAGATATGAGGTGTTCCCCCAAAAGCCCATGTCTGAGACAATGCAAGAAAATTCACAAGTGAAATGACTGGGCTATGAAAGCCTTAAATCAAGTCAGTGAATGGTGGTGATAAGTAGGCAGGTAGGGTAGGCTGGAAGCTATARTAGGTAATTGGTAGCATGTCTTTTGGGTCTGTATTTTGTCCCTGGTAAGCAGAGCTCTCTCTGTTTCCTGATTGCCATGACTTGAGCTGCTTTCTTCTTCCACACCCTTCTGCTGTGGTGCTCTGCCTCACCTTGTGCCAAAGCAGCAGAGTCAGCCACCTATGGACTGAGACCTCTGAAACCATGAGCACCAAATAAACTTTTACTCCTCCACATATTTCTTTTCGGATCTTTTGATCATAGTGGCGAAAAGCTGACACAAACACTACTATAGTGTGTGCATAACATAGTTATGTTCAAATGACCTATTAGTAGCTTCACATTTTTTTCCAAAGAAAAATGTGGGGGAAATATACTTCGTCCTTTATAATAAACTGGTGAATGTGTTTCCCTGAATTCTGTGAGAGGCTTAAGCAAATTAATTGAACTTGAGTAGGGGTTTTTGGGAACCCTGATTATAGCTAGTAAGAAGCACAGGCAATTAAAGGTGTTGGGGTGGGGGTGGGCAGAGGGTGTTGCTCAACGGTTGAGTGCTTGCCTAGCATGCAGGAGGCTCTGAGTTCAATCCCYAGTACCAAAAATAAATTTAGTATATAGATAAGTAAAGGCAGTTTTAGGGACTGAGCCCTCAACCTGTGGGATTTAATACTATCTCCAGGTAGACAGTGTCAGAACTGAATTGAATTGGAGGACTGTTGCAGAAAGAATTATTTGCTGTGTGAGGAATATTCCAACACATCTGGTTTCAGAAGTGATCTGTGTTGTGAGAGTATTTGGAGAAGAAATTGAATTTGGGTTGGTTGGTGTTTCTTATACATGTACACAGTCCGCTCTTCATTTCTGGACCAGAAAGCCTAGACACTCAATAAGACTTCTCCCTGATTAGATCAAGTCCACTAGGATATTTTTTCCATTGATAAACAAAACTAACTCACTGGGGACTTTAATTACATTTACATAATCCCTGCACATTTACCATATTTCTGTTAGAAACAGGTTAGAGGGTTAGCTAACATAAGGGGATTATCCAGGAGGGTGTCTACCAGAAGGTGGAGATCACTGGGTCATATAATTGTGCCTCCTGGGGAATGCGTCCCAAATAGGGGCAGAAATCTCCAAAGTGTTCTATGTTACTGGGATTGGAAGCAAAATTTCTGTCAATAGAGCCATTTCTACCCTTATTCATCAATCTTGGGCCCATGTAATCTGGTTGTGGGGGAGACAGTACCACATAAGACTCTAATTCAAAGCACTGTGTCCTATGAGACAGAATGCCACCCTTTCTTAAAGTTGTCTCACAGCAGGCCCTGCAGCTGAGTTTTCGGGAAGGCATTCCCTCTCTCATTTAGATCAGCTACTTCTCAATAATGGGGTATGTGTTGATTAGTTGATTGCAGAGACTACTCCCATTGTTGCACTAATCTGCACTGGAATGGTTTCCCTAGCCAGTGCCATGTGAGTGCTGTCACTGTGGCTAAAGTATTTTGTGAGCCCATGGATGGTGGTGCCACCTGAAGTGTAAGCAGCAGAGAGTTGATGTGCCCTTGTGATGTTGATGTCTAAGTGCTACACACTTGATTTCTGCTGCTCTGGGTTTTGACTTTTGCCATTGGAATAGAGGAACTCTATGTGCATTTCAATGATAGTATCAGTACATGAATATCTGGCATAAATTTTTTTGTTATCTCCATAAAGAGAGTATTGTCTTCTGGATCATCAACATAGATTAGGGTAAGGGTGGGAGGGGTGTGGAAATCAGCTGGCAAATTCAGTAGAACTTTCTTGTTTCTAGGATCCCTTCTGTCACATTATGCCAGGGAAGTTCTGGCATGTCAGCCTCACTAACTGTAGGTCATCCTTGAATCCAAGTTTTAGTCGCCTAGCTAATTTAGCTGTTAAAGTCGTACCCAGGGCAACCCCTCTTGGGGTCCTCCTCCTGCCCCTGCAGGAGTTGTTTCTATCCTCACACTTAAATAAGTACTATTCCTTTAAAAAAAAAAAAAAAGGTCGCACTGAGGCAAGAGGTTTGCAAGCTTGAGGCCAACCTTAACCACGTAGGAAGACCCTAAGCAACTTAGACCCTGTCTCAAAAAATAAAAGGGGCTGAGGTTGTGGCTCAGGAGTTAAACACCCCTGGGTTCAATCCCCAGTACAAAAACAAACAAACAAATAAATAAATATACAATTCTAGGGCTCAGGATTAGCTCAGTGGTATTAGAGTGCTTGCCTAGCATGTGTGAGGCCCTGAGTACCATCTCCAGCACTGCAAGGAAAAAAATAAAGAAATAAATTTTAATTCTTTTCCATCATACTAGCTTCATATAAAATGAACATTAACACATGTGATGAGTCAGTACATTGTGGTGCTCTAGACATTGCAGGTCTAGACCAACTTCTAATCGTCCTGGAATGTGACAGCAACCTCAAGAGATCAGGACCACTTTAGCTACAGTTGGGCCCTAGTTCACCACTTCCTAAATGGGTGATATGGAACAAATCCTTTTATTGTTTGAATCTAGTTTTTTTCTAGCATTAAATAGGGATTTGATATCTACGGTGAAGGGTTGGAAAGATGCATAAGTCAGTCTGTCTCCCCTGTGCCCTTGCGCGCGCGTGCTCTCTCTCTCTCTCCACACACACACACACACACACGTGTGTGTGTGTGTGTTTGTATACTGACCTCCTAGTGTAAATGCATACTTTCTGGTCCTCAGTAAATGATAGTGGGTGTTATTAATACTTATGTTAACAGGTTACACTGTATTTAGTGGCTTTCTTTATATCATCTGTGGCGAGTAAGCCAATGTCTGATGACAAATGATGAAATACTGCTCTATAAGGAAGAATGGAGATTTCCCTTATCCTCCAAGATTCATAAGCTGCCTGAAGTGGTCTTGGCATCTAGGAAAACAGCGTTCCAGAAAACTTTGCCTTCAGCCTCACAGAATGATGGTTATTGATTGGCCCCTGACCAGTCCTGTTAATGTTCTTTTATAGAGATTCTGCTTTATATCCACCTTGTGTAACAGAGCCCATTGGCCCAGGCCTGAGCAGCCACACCACCCAGCTTTTTATGTTTTGTTTTTTTGGAGATGTCAAAGTGGGCTAGATAATACTGTTATGCAGATGAGCCCCCTGGTGTATGTGCTGCATGATATCCTTGAGAATTTTCATCATGGATAAATGAAGACAATTTCTCTGAATTTAAGTTTGCTTACCTGTAAAATGAACTATCGTAGTTTTTGTAATGGGCGGTACTACTCACCATCCCTTTTTCTAGCTCTAGGTGAGACAGGACTGTTCTAGCATTCTATGATAGTAGTACACATATGAGAGAGAGAGGGAGGGAGGGAGGGAGGGAGGGAGGGAAAGAAAGAAAGAAAGAGAGAGAGCTTTTCAAATGTGCAGGATTACATGGCAGTTTCATGCTAGGATGGAATGGCTTCTAGGCATGTAAGTGTAGGAATTAGGGTAGTACCAGTTCTCATGCCTTCTTTCTTTTCCAGGAGCAGTTCTTTTCAGGGATCCATTCAGCCTACTTGAAGAAAAGATAAAAGCAGAAAAGATGGCAGACTGCCTGATAAACTATTACCAGGTATGCAGAAACTGTCCAACAGAATGACATGCTTGCCTCCACCAGGCACATTTTCTTCTAGACAGACTTATCTCCACAACTATTTAAAGTCAGTAGAGCCTCAATCAACTAAGTCCCCAGATGAATTTATGGGAATGGAGTCTTCTTATCAATGAGGTGTTATCTGAAAATCATCCCAATATTTCAGTAATTACTAAGCAATGATGACACTAATGGTGACAAGGATATGGTGTGATTCTTCTTTTGCCAAGTACTCTGCCAGATGTTAAGAAAGAAAAAAGTGTCCTTTTCCATAAAAGACTATTCATTTGTCCTGTTTATCAAGCATATGATAGGAGTATACTTTAATAGAAGGAAATAAGGGCCTGGRGATGTGGCTCAAGTGGTAGCACGCTCACCTGGCATGCGTGCGGCCCGGGTTCGATCCTCAGCACCACATACAAACAAAGATGTTGTGTCCACCGAAAAACTAAAAAAAAAATATTAAAAAAAAATAGAAGGAAATAAGAGAAGAGCTTCTAGTCTAAGTGTGGTGAGATAAATTCATTTTTCAGTAGAGCCATAAAAGCCATATGATTCAGGAGATGGGCAGTAAGTGCATGTGGATAGAGAAAGAGTTCCTGGGACCACTGAACCTTGCAATAGACAGTGAAAACCATCAGATCCTTGCATAGACCTTGGCCTCACTTCCTCGTTCTTTAGTCAACATTGATAGAGATATTAGTATTGTAACTTATTACTCAGGCTGCCATGTGTTTAACAATTTAGGACTTGGTGACCTTTGAGGATGTGGCTGTGAACTTCACTCAAGAAGAGTGGATTTTATTGGATCAAACTCACAGAGACCTATACAGAGATGTGATGCTGGAGAACTACCAGAACCTGGTCTCGTTAGGTAAGTCTGCCATCATTCCTTGTAGCTCTTAGGGAAGAAGTGGATGTTCTGTCCTTAAAGTACTGCACAATCAGTGATCTCAACACCAAATACATTGGGAAACAATAGGAACATAGTCTTTACCCTAATTCAGTGGTCCCCCTTTATCCATGGGGGATATGTCTCAAGATCCCCAGTGGAGTTCTGAAACCAAACTCATACAAATTCAAAATAATATTTTAAGATGTAACAGTGAAAGTAGCATGCATTTCTTTTTCCTTCTTCACAGTTTCACAGGTTGAAGATTCCTTCTTATGTAGATATTAGAAACCTTAGCATATGATATTTTTTCTTTTCCTTATTAAGCCATGATCTTTCAACTTTTAGATTAAATGGAGCACTGTGGCTTCTCTTTGGCATGTTCAAATTGTCATCATAATTACAGTCTGCTTTGGGTCYGTTATTATTAGGTAAGACAAGGGTTATTTACACAAAAGCACTGCTACACTGTGACAGTCAACTTGATAAGTGAGATGGCTTCTTAAAGACTAATGGGCAGGAAGCATACAAAGTATGGCTGTGATGGATAAAGGGATAATTCATATCCCATGGATAGGACAGAATAGAATATTGTGAGCTTTCATAAGCTACTCAGAACATTGTGTGATTTAAAACTTCCAAATTGTTTATTTTTGGAATTTACTACTTAATCATCCATAAATATTAAGTTAGTTGATGGGAGGTAACTAAAACTGCAGAAAGCAAAACCATGGTCTAACATGGTGGCTCTCAAAATGTGGTCCAAGATGAACAAATCACTGTGATCCTGTTAGAAATGTAAATTATCAGTCTCTTCCTTTGACATACTGAATCAGAAATTCCAGATAGATCCCTGTCAGTGCATGTTAGCAAGCCACCCATTTGTATCTGATGCATTATAATTTGTGATTCCTGGTATAGTTTTTCCCCAGAAGAACAAGGATCTTTTTGTTTCACTTTACTTTCTATTTGATTCAGTATTAGTGTTTTGTTTGTTAGCATTGATTTGGGTCTTCAGAATTCCAAGATAACTAATCATTTTTGGGTACAGAAAGAGGTGATACTTGCATACTTCACTCTTTTGAAATAATTCTTCTGCTTTCATTAGAAACAGTATGATTAGAACTATACTGTTTTATCATCTGTTGCATGAACCTMTTTCATGAATATCTTTCCCCATGTACAGGATGTGAACCCACCAAACCCAGTCTCATCTCATGGTTAGAACAAGAAGAGGATATGCAGACCGGAGATCTCCAAGGTGAGTGAGTCTGGAGGGCAACTGTGATCAAGGAGAAGCTTATTGAGTTTGGAAGGATCATGAAACTTTTTAAGATGTATTTGATTTAAGAAGGTTCAGGACATTACTCTGAGAAGGTAAAAAATCTCAGCTTCTCATACTCTGTCTACTCAGAGTTTCCTGTGATCTCCAAAATGAACTGTTGTCTTTTTTTTAAATCACTTTTTCATTTGTTCTTTGTCTAGATCTTTTCTTCTTTTCATGCCTGATAATATTATTCTTGTTTACCATCAGTTCTAATTTTTAAAGAATCAGTTTATAATAAACTATTTAAGACTATGATCCACAACTTTACTGTTGCCAAATTTGATCTAGTTAAAATGCTCAAACTTTGCTTTTTTCCCCCCATATTTTTTTCCTTTATCTTTTTGTTGTTGTTGTTGTTTGGTTTGTTTGGTTGGTTGGTTTGTTCTTTTGGCTCTAGGGATTGAACCCAGGAATGCAAGGCAAGTGCTGTACTGGTTTCCAACACCAGCCCACTTTTTTTTATACCATGTTTAATTTGAAAACAAATACAGTGGCTGGGCATGGTGGCACACAGGGCTGAGGCAGGAGGATCACAAGTTCAAAGCCAGCCTCAGCAACTTAGCAAAACCCTGTCTCTAAATAAAATATAAAAAGGGCTAGGGATGTGGCTCCAATCCCTGGTACCAAAAAAAAAAAAAAAAAAAAAAAAAAGAAGAAGAAAGAATGATAAAACAAATACATATAAGCCCTATCATTTTTAATTTCTACAATCTACCATTTCTTTCTCCAAATCTTAAATTTGTCTTCTGATCATATTTAGAATGGAAAATGCACGTTAGCACTGAAGAGGCAGCATTTCAGCAGAATATTTTGAAGGAACGAATTTCCAGTGGGATACAAATGGTAAGATTAATAAAAGATGTTGTTGTTTTCCACACTCAGAGAAGATGTGAATTCTGTTATAGATAGTAACATTCATCCAAGTGGGAGGGAAGCAATATGTCAGGAGAAATACTTTGAATATAATATCAATTTTGAGTATAATATCAATAGTATCCCAAACTATTGTGAAGCCAGTTCCTTCAGGGATCCCACAAGTACACAGTCCCACATATCTTGGAATTCTGGACATGGGAGTTTTTAAAGCAATTATCTTAATCTTTTTAACATTAGAATAGATATCACAGGATTTTAGTCCTATTGTTCCTTCATTGAGTACTATAGAACTCACATGGCAATAACTATATGAAAGAATGAAAATGATGAAATTTATAATAACCCTCTAAATACGTTCTTTATTCATCATTCAACCATTTGTCAATAGGGAGAAGGTTGCAGTATTGGTGAATCCTCATTTATCATACTTGAAAAAGGTGGGGAATTCTCTTATAGAAAATCTGTATCAATGAGGCTTGTTTTTTTGTTTCCATGGTGCTGGGAATCAAACCAAGACCTTGAGCTAGGCAAGCACTCTACCACTGAGCTGCATCCCTGGCCCAAGAGATGCTTGAGAGAAATAACATTTACCCTAGCAGAGAAAATGTCTCTAAAGGGATCCTGAGATCCTGAATGTGATGAATTTAGGATACCCTAATCCAAGCTCAAAAAACCTGGAGCTTCAGAGTTCTTAGAAGTACACTTTCCCACATATAATGTTTGGGTACTGAGATTCTTAAAAGAATTTTATGAAAATGTACAGGAATTATCCTAAGACTAAAACAGATGGTTCAGAATCCTTGCAGTATTCCTTCATTCAATTTGAGAGAAGTTCAGAGTATGAATTCTATACATGTAATAAAAACAGTAAGAATCAATTATGTTTTATTTTTGCTTTCAGATAGGTAAAATCCATTTCATTTGAAAAAAAATCTTTAACCATATTTCATCCCTTATCAGCAGACGGGAATCCAAAGTGCAGGGGAACTCTGTAATTATCTGCAATATGGAGAAATCTTCAGTGAACACTCATATTTCAAGACACACATGAAGATTCAAAATTCAAGGAACCCTTGTGACTCTAATCAGTATGGAAGGTATTTTCCTACTACTCACAAAACCTCTACTGAACAGACACTCTCTGTGTTGAGTCAGTGTGAAAGAGCTTTTAGCCTGACTCCAAATGACGTTTACCAGAAAACCATCACACAAGACAAATCCTTTGAATGCAATGACTATGCCTTCCTCAATCAGCCATACTTTCAGGCTCATTTGAGAAATCACAATGGAGAAAAACTCTTTGAATTGAAGCAGTATGCAGGAGATTTTACATTTCCCACAAGTGGAACTGTGCCTATTCAAATGTATACCATAAAAGCCTATGAGTGTAAAGTTTGTGGGAAAGTATTTGGATATTCTTCAAACCTAAATAGTCACATGCGAACCCACACTGGGGAAAAACCCTATGAATGTAAGGTTTGTGGAAAAGTATTTGGTTATTCTTCAAATCTTAACAGTCACATGCGAACCCACACAGGGGAGAAACTCTATGAATGTAAGGAATGTAGGAAGTCCTTCACTACTTCTTCAAGCCTAACTGAACATTTCAGAATTCATACTGGAGAGAAACCCTATAAATGTAAAGAATGTGGAAAAGCCTTCACTAAACGCTCAGGCCTTACCACACACGTACAAACACACACTGGAGAGAAGCCCTATGTATGTAAGGCATGTGGGAAAGCCTTTACTGCCGCTTCAAACCTAACTGAACATTTAAGAATTCATACTGGAGAGAAACCCTATCAATGTGAGGAATGCGGTAAAGCCTTCCATGCTTCTTCCTACCTGCGTAAACATGTAAGAACTCACACTGGAGAGAAGCCCTATGAATGTGAAAAATGCGGGAAAGCCTTCCATGCTTCCTCATACTTACGGAAACATGTAAGAACTCACACTGGAGAGAGACCTTATCAATGTAGAGAATGTGGGAAAGCCTACAAAAGGTGTTACTTGCTAACTGAACATTTAAAAACTCACACGGTGGAGAAGCCCTTTGAATGTAAGTTATGTGGAAAATCCTTTAGAAGTTCTGCCTGCCGTAATAAACACATTCGAATTCATACTGGAGTAAAACCTTATAAATGTAAATACTGTGGGAAAGCTTTCACTGTTTCCTCAAGTCTAGCTGAACATGTAAGAACTCACACTGGAGAGAGGCCCTATGAATGTAAGGAATGTGGGAAAGCCTTCACAACTTCTTCATGTCTCATTGTGCACATAAGAACCCACACTGGAGAGAAACCTTATGAATGTAAGGAATGTGGGAAAGCCTACAAAAGGTGTTATCTGCTGACTGAACATGTAAAAACTCACACAGGGGAAAAGCCCTTTCAATGTAAGGTATGTGGAAAGTTTTTTGGAAATTCCTCATGTCTTAATAAGCACATTCGAATTCATACTGGAATAAAACCATATAAATGTAAGTATTGTGGGAAAGCCTTCACCGTTTCTTCAAGCCTAGCTGAACATGTAAGAACTCACACAGGGGAGAAACCCTATGAATGTAAGGAATGTGGGAAATCCTTCACTACATCCTCAAACCTATATCACCATGTAAGAATTCACACTAGGGAGAAGCCCTGTAAATATCAGGAATCTGAGAACACCTATAATAGGCTTTATTTGCTAACAGAACATTTAATAACTCAAACTGAACAGAAACCCTTTGAATGGAAGGAATGCCGAAAATCCTTTAGGAGTTCTTCACGTCTTAATCATCACACTGGAATTTTTACTGATGAAAAACCTTATTAATGTGAAGAATGTGGAACAGCCCTCAATTATGCCAGTTTATTTCAAAGGATTGAAAGACCTCTATTCTCAAGATGCCCCATGAATTTAAGAATTGTGTTAGAATCATTGGAATCTGATCATGATGCAGTATTGTGAGAACTCATCCTGGAGCCATATAATGTAACAAACATGAAAATCRTAATTCTCAGGGACCTATTAAATATATAGGCTCTTCCAGTGGAGAGAAAACACTGTTGATGTATGATATGTGGAAAAGTTGTAATTGTTAAATACTTTGATGTTCATTTGACCTCACAGTGGAGAAAAACTTTATTGTCTTGGCTGGGCACAAGATCACGAGCCACTCACAGCTTTGTAGATTCAAACAGCAATTCTTTATTCCCGAACTCACACCAGCCTCTACACACTTTCTGGGGAAATCCAAGTTCTGCCTGCTGCACAATTCACATCCCAAATACTTTCTCAATTCCATGAGAGCTCAACGGGAACTCAGGCAGCAGGAACGCCCTATTCCCAGCAGCAATAACCTTAAACCTGCAACTTCCCTAAACCCAGATTATCTTAAACCAGGATACTTCCTAAAACCTGCAGGATACACCTTAAACCTGGATCCACCCTGGTCCTTGAGCAGGGTCACCTTTCTCAAAGACACATGCAATATCATAGCAAATTTCCATTTAACATGGGGTACGCTGGAAAGGAAATTTTGATGCGTCATTCCTACTTGGCTGTGGCCCTCAGCAATTGTATAGGCGAGGAAGGATGCAAAGTCAATTTTTTACATATTATCCTTCAGCCTTTAAAAACAGCGATTCACACACAAGAAAAAGTGAATGTTTAGATATGAAAATTGCATCCCCACCCCTGAAATCTTGTATGTTGACAGACATACCACCTTCTGAATGATTCTTTACATTTAGTTTGAATATTTATGAGTCCACCTTGATCATTCCTGGTGGGATATATCTGTTTCTTGTATAGCAAAACCATTCCAGTCAAGGTGCTAGAACTTTCAGATGGCATCTAGCCAAAAATGAGCCTTTTGGAAACAAAAGTATCCTATACTATTTGTTTACTTGTTGTTCCTGGGATTGAACTCAGGGCCTCACACATGCCAAGTGTATACTCTACCACAGAGTTGCACCCCCAGCACAAATCCTATTTTAGCATTGAAGATTCTCTCGTCATGCTTTTAAACATGGTTCACTAATAGTAACTCACACTAGCCAAATTTAGGCTATAATATAGCTCTCAATGTTGTTCAAATGCTCTTGCTCCTCTCTTACCTGATTTTTTAATTCATATTAAAAAGGGCATGTGGAAAAAAGGTTGAGTGAATAGCTGGTAGTGTGACAGACCTCAGTTTCATGGCTGTGGAGGAAAAGCCAGATCCTTGGACCTGAGAATAGGAATTCCTTTAACTCAGGGAGGGAGGGAGAGACCTAGATTTTCTCTTTCTTTATAGATTCACTCCATGATTGGAAAATAAATCATATTCCTGAGTCAAACAACAGCTTGGACTGACAACTAGACTTTCTGGATTTGCCCTTTCATATAAGATGAAAAATAGCAAGAACTCTGGACATGGCTGGTATCATGTTCTGCTATGCTGGAAATCATCACTGACTTTGAATATGGCCTTTCACAGACCAACTCAACCAGATTTCAGTCTGAGTGACCCAACATTTATATATGCTTGAGCAACTTTGGATTCTGTCATGTGCTGCCCTCAGGGCTACAGTCCTTTATTTGGCTTTTAATCCAGCCAGTGTAGAGGTATTCCAAATCACACTAAACAATAATCCTCAACAGAAGAGACCTGTGCACTTTCATGTTCCATGTGTTTCTTGTGAGGAGTGGTAATGGAATGATTCTCTTGTGGGCATGAGTGTTACTGTTAGGCACAATTGTTATTGCCATTACCTATTGGCAATGACAATAAAGGTGATCACATCAATGTGGGCTGCCTTGCGTGGGTGGATATGGCTCATGAATTTGCCTTAGATGCCATCTTACTGTCTGAAATGAGACCTGTAGGTCCCTCTGGAACTCACTGATAGTTGCCTGATGATGAGCACATGTGGGTGATGGGTGAAGTCACTAGTGCAGGTTGGCCTTGTCCTTCAGTCTGGACTCCAAGTGACAGTATCATTAACAAATGACAGTATAGTGTTCACAGCCCAGACATTGCCCTGCCTGAGAAACTCACTGCTGGTGAAGACATCGCCTCACCCAAACACCTTGCCACTGGAGAGGACTTCCTCCACTGCACTGGAGATGAGTTCAGATTCATCATTGCTTCTTTGTAGCAATGCCTGTGTGCTCGTGCTCCTCAAGCACAAATTGCACACAAAACATTTTTTCTTAATTTGATATTTGGGGTTTGATTGGTGTGCCCGAGCTTGCTGTCAGCTTAGCCTGTGACCCTGGTATAATGTTACAGGGTTTGAGTGGGGCGTGCCCATCAAGGATAGTATCCATAAGCCAATCATCTTATGCCTAATGTAACCACACTATGAGGATGTTCTAAATATTGCTATCATCAGGAAGGGTCTTTGTCCCTAGGGGAGGGGGTTTCTAAGTTAGAAGTTCCATGTCAAAGCTCCTGGCTATCGGTTTCCTGGCCTGGCAGCTTGGCAATGCTAACCACAGTGCTAAGGATGTGGTTTCACTAACAGCTTGCTAGATCAGAGCATCCCATCCTGCAGGCATTCCTATCAGGCTTGAACAAGTATAGATTCTTCAAGCACTCCGAGCTGCTCATAGCTGCTAGCTGTAAACTGAAAGATATTACAACATAATGTCACCCTAAATATACAGCTCTATACCTCATCCCTTTAGGAAAATCTGATAGAAGTTACTGCTACCTCTTAGAGAGATTACTATCTGCAGTTCTGAAAGTTGACAGGAATTTTTTTTTTTTTTTTGGTTTCCCAGGAGTCACCTGCTACATGTCAGTCAATGTTATTCACTTGCCTGCAATCTCCAGGCAATCCTGTGGTGGCAGTTAAACATAACAGACTTTGAGAAACTAGAATGTGAGGTAGACCAGCCTTTCAGACACAAATAGCATTGCAGAAAGCTTTGAAAATAATTCAAAGTGTAGCTCAGTGGTAAAGTACTTGCCTAGAATGTGTGAGGCACTGGGTTCAATCATAAAAATAAATAAATAAAGGCATGCTGTCCATCTACAACTACAATAAAAGTTTTAAAACAAAAAACAGTACTGTGTGTCATAACAACCAAATGCAGGCAACAATAGATCGCATGTGACTACATACCATCTGGGCTAAGTTTGTAGTAGGCCATGCCATCTAGATTTGTGTAAATCTAAGATATTTGTGAAATGATGAAATTTTGCCCAAAAGTGCAGTTCTCAGAATTCACTCCCATGGCACAYGACTATTTGAAAAATAGGCCTGGTGTAGTGGCACACACATGTAGTATCAGTGATTCAGAGGCTGAGGTAGGAAGATGGCAAGTTTGAGGACAGTCTCAGCAAACTAGCAAGACCCTGTCTTAAATTAAGTTTTTTTTTTTTTTTTAAAGTGCTGAGGATATAGTTTAGTGCTAGGGTACCCCTGGTTCAATCTCTAGTATCAGAAGAAAAAAAATTCTCAGATTTGGTGAACAACACAGGTACAAGATGTTCAGTGAACACAAAACATAAAGAAAACTAATCCCAGAAATGTAGTGAAAGCTAAAAATAAGAAATCTTGAAAAGAGACTGAGAAAACTCACATGAATGCTTGTAGTAGAAAAATTCCATTTATTTCTCAACTGAAATCATAAATGCCAAGAGGAAATGTGGAAATATTTTTCAAGTACTGAACTGAAGTATCAACCTAGAATGCTATACCAAGCAAAAGTATTCTCTAGTAATGAAAGTGAAATAAATTCTCAGATGAAGTAAGACAGAGTCATTGCCAAAAGACCTGCTTTAAATGAATTGTTAGAAATGCACCTAAGAAAGAAATGAAACTTGAAATATCAGGAATGAAGGGAAAGCTGTAGAAATAGTTACCTGGATAAATATGGTATTGTACAACTGAGGTATTTTGGGGGACAATACTGCGGATTGAATTTGGGAAACTCTACCACTGAGTTATACCCCAGCCCCTCATCCTTTGTTTTGTTTTTGAGACAGTTTCTAAATTGACCAGGCTGACCTTGAGCTTGTCATCCTCCTGCCTCAGGCTCCTGAGTAGCTGGGATTACAGGTATGCACCACCACAACTAGTTTCTACTTGAATTTTTTATAAATGATTGTTGAAAAGAATAAAACATCTTACAGGTATACAGATATTTCAATTTTTGTAGATATAATACATAAGACAAACACAACATAATAATGAGGGTAAGCCAAGTTGATATCAAGTTTCTGTATTTCATTTAAATGGTAAAATGTCATTCCATGTAACCTAATAATTTATGTATATTTTAATGCCTAAAAAGTATGCAGTGGGGGACTAGGGATTTAACTCAGCGAGTACTTGCRTAGCATTCAAGAAGCCCTTGGTCAGATGCCCAGCTCCACCGAAAAGAAGAGAAAGCAATGAGATACAGTAAAAAATACAGGAGATAAATTAGAGTACTAATAAGTGGTTAAATAACTAAAAAGCACAGTAATAAAAGGAAAACAGAAAAATAAAAAAAGAGACTAAACATAATAATAGAGTTGAATCACATTTGTAATCTGAACCATTCAATATAAATGATCTAACATACAAAAAGAAAGATGAAGTAGCATGACTAAATTATATGTTGCTTCCAAGAAACTCTCTTAAAATAAAGTGATATAAGTACATTAGTAGTAAATGGCTTTGCACCCTTAGCGTCCACATCTGGAGGGCTATGGTAAACAGGCATCTGGGGCATAGGCTTATGTGGCAGGTTGCACAAAAGTTACTATGCTGACATGCAGCATTCATTCTGGATGCTCAGTGCATGTGTCCTAGGGACATTGAAAACAATCTGTTAAGCTGTTTGACACATGTAACTGAGATGTCCCTCTTTTAATGGACATCCTTTCAGTGTTAAATGTTCAAA